AAACATAAGGGCATTTACAGTTTCTAATGTGCAGGGGAATAGACATAAATAACAAATAGACATAGATAACAAACAATCTTGAACTAAAATGCTGCGAGCTAAAGATGCGGCGTTCGATTTCTGCAAAGACTCGCCATGAGGTTTATTTAGTTCATGTAATATTTGTTTAGTCAAGGATGCATTTCAATTTGCCCCCCTGTTTCCACCTCCTCCCTCTTCCACCTTCGTTTGTATTCCACTCTCTTTCTCGTGGTGCATATTAAGGGCTTGGACTACTTCTCGCTGATAGGTTGCGAACAATCCCAGAACCTCCCCCCTGTACACACCCTCTGCTTTTAGTTCTTTCAGATCTGCCGCTGATAGAAAGTTATTTTGCCATTTGGCTCCGAGTATACCTAAATTGAATTCTTTCGCAAGTCCAAGGACTGCACGAGTAGGAATGGCACGGTCCGCAATCTCTTCCGGGTACGCCACAATCATGGGTCCTTGCAGAAGTCGAATTAATGCCTTGTAAGGGCTGTCTTTCAGATAGTGCTGAGACACTGCAGGCGAGAAAGATCGCCAGGTAAGGCCTGTCTGAGCGCGGAATTTTTGTTTCATCTGCAGCACGGTCTCAGAGTTCATTGATGGCGGTTGGAAGAAGAAGCACGTGTCTCGCGTCGTCAGGATCTCACGTAGATACATGTTGGCAAGAACTTTTCGCCCTTGCCGCACAAGTGTCTGAAGCTGTTTCATCCTGGTCGTGCTTGAAAGGCAAAGGGGGGGGAGTGCATGAGAAAATGTAAGGCATCACTTCGACTTGATTAGAAAAAGTGGGGTTATCATCCGTCGGCAGGTCGAGTTATGAAGCGCGTCACAGCACTTGTTGTTGAAGCGATTACCACACTGACAGCTGTTGAGAAAGAAATTTTACTTTCAAAGATTCATCCAGTGAAGACAACTGTGAAGGCGAAGAGCGCACGCGACTGTCTCTCTACCAAAAGCTAGAGGTCATGAAACGCTGAGGCAAGTAAGCCCGTCGCTGTTTCTCGCACCGGCCTTCCGCGCAACCCGTGGAGAGCGGGAACATGAGGCAACTTTTTCCGCGCTTGACGAAGCCACAAAGCACGCGCCTCAAAAAGAGAATCTCGAAGAGTAGGTCTTACGGTCAACACAAGGTTTCCAGGTCATTCGTTTTGGATGCCAATTCCTACAGTCTGTTAGGGTTACTTATACAGAATTACAACCTCCCCTCCCTCGGAACTGAGGGCGATGTCCTTCAGCTCCTGAAAAGGCCTCATAAACTTTACGCATGCCTCATCCAACGTTCGCGTCCCGTCAAAAACGGACTGGACCTGTTTCACCAATGACAATGGGTACTTTTGAGTCGAGCGCTGCTTATGTTCATTCGACTTGTTGTTCACGGTCTTGCCAGCATCCTCTTTAGAGATGGAGGACCTCTGTGATGTCAATTTGGTTCCATATTTTTTCCCTCCCCCCCTCCCCACGTGTCCCATCTTGCGTGCGTTGTCCGTTTCTGATCGGTCCAGGCGGCTGGTTCGATTCCTTTGACGCCGGCAGATAAACTGGATATCGATGCACACGTCTTAAGAAACCATAGACGACACCGAAAGTCACAAGTCTACGGGCGTCCACCGCACGCATTTTCTGTTTACGCGCGCTGATAATGTCTGCCAGTGTTAGGTGAGGTCCGAAAGCCCTGTACAAATTTATCAAGTCTTCATCACTTGTCAACAGGGGTGAGGCTTCGTCCTCTTCTCCAGGCCGTGCCCCTCCTGTCATTCTCTCGCCCGCACCCATCCTGTCCTCCATGACTGATTGGGATGCAATGGTCGGAGAATCAGTGCAATGGCCAGTCGTAGCCGGGGTGCTCGTGGGAGTATGAGGTGGAAGAGCCTGTGATGACGTGCATGCTGGAGGATAGCAGACAAACTTCCTACATTCCTCAAGCATGGCGGGGCTGTCCATAAACTCGCGGAAGGCTGCGGCCTCCGTGCCACTTATCACGTAGACGTTGGAGAATTTGAATATATCCACCAGGGCGATGAAGTCGTAGTGGACCAGGGTTCGCAAGGCGGCCTTGACACAATCCACGTCCATCTAGGGGGAGGTAGGCAGTCGGATAAAGTTATTAGCCGTCAACAAGTAACAATGCGCTCAAAACAAGTGACCGCGTTGCATCGATAAATATGACTACATATCTGCGCATTATATCTATGGGTCGTTCACAGGCCCATCTGTCCCACATGAGCCCTTTTGACCTGCTCCGTCATCGCTTCACAGAACCTACTTCAACCCGTCTCGTTAGCTCACTCCTTTCCACTTCGCCTGCTTCGCTCCATTCTTCTCGAAAATTGTTGGCGCTTCGCTTCACGCCTCCTTCACTCATTCCGTCCCTCTTCTATCCCTGCCCCTCGCCCTCCCTCACCTCCGCGTCCATTGCCAGCCGCTTCGCATACTTGATCCCATCGATGTGGGGGATAATGTGACGCAAGGCCAAATCCCAATCTAGATTCTTAAGGACCGCCGCATCGCGCAGGAAGACCGGCACTTGGTGATCGCCGACGACAGGAGGCTCCTTTGGATGGGAGTAGAAGAAGGAGACGCAAGATACAAGGGATCAGCGCAGCACAGAGAGCCAGAGAAGGCGACGGTGAATGGCAAAAAGTGAGCGAAACGAGGGCGGGCCACCCGATAACAGGTACAATCCTTCAGACAGGCCCTTTGCTACCCCCGTTCTCAGCACCGCGGCTCATTGTACCTACCTGCACGACGTGAACCAGCTTCAGAGACAACAAGTTCGCATCGTCCAATATGAGAAGACACTCCTTGCGGGCGTTCAAATCCTCCAGGATCCGGTGCAGCATGCGGTGTAGCTGCCATCTTGTCTCGGGCCTGGAGATGAACTCCCTGTCTTCCTCTAGGCTATAAAGAGTCAGAGCCACCTTGCGGAGGATGGGCTCGTAAGGAGCGGGGTCGCTCCGGGCATCCAGAACAAAGCTGACGTTGAAGAGGAAGGTGTTACGGGGATACTGTACCAAGAGGAGGCGAGCCATCGATGGAACGTGTGAATCATATGAGTGCATGTCACGGAAGACACAGGGAAAAATATGTCAATCATTGCAAGAAGTTGACTTTATGGCTGCTGAGCTTCCATGAGAGAGCGGCACGTGTCACACCAGCATGGCCCAAAGAATTTCCGACTCCATCTCGACCAATTCACTTCACGCACCTTTTCGTTCTCAATGCACAAGGGGAATCCAACTATTTGAAGGTCAGAAACCGTCACAGCGATGGTCTTTCCATACAGTTGCCGTCCTGTGATGACATAGTCTGAGATGCTATCGAAGACCTCTTGAGAAAGGAAGCTGTACGGACACAAAAAGGACATCAAGTGGGTTAGTGGCGTAACACGTGCGGACTAGGAAAAGGCTAGAAATGTGAGAGAACGCACCCGTCGGGCGTCTGACAGCGGATCGTGGGCCCAATAGTATTGTCAAAATCACTGTAGATTATGGCCAGGAGCGGTCCGGCCGCATCCTCTTTCTCAGCGGTTCCATAGCTAATTTTACTCATCCCTTCCTCCTGTTGTCGGACCGCTGATTCCCTTCATATTAACTCCAAGCCCCTATGGAAGGCATCCTGTCCTGAAGCGACGACAGATGAGGTGATAACTTTGTGTACATGCCACAGCATACGTCCGAGGCGGCGATGTTGCCTAGGAGGATAAAAACACAGGCAACGGAGGAAAATTAGCCTGTCGACGCCAACTGTAATAAATTAACGCTGACAAATTAAGTACAGCAATGCGGCCTCCAAATATGTGTCGTACACGCATGAAGCAATCAGAGCGTGAACTGCTTAGGGACGACATTTCACTTCAAAACCTCCCCTCTCTCTCCAGTTGCAACTTCCACAAAACCCTTCACTGGCAGGTGTACAAAAACAATTTAACGTATATCCGATCGATTTCAAATTGTATTTCCTACATCCAAGTATTTTCTTTCATTTGCAGTCGTGCCAGTTCGTTCTTAAATGCCGGAAAGAGATCCTCCGGGGGAGTCCGTCCGCCGTTGCATCTCCTTCTCCTCCTCATCAGACGTACGAAAAAGAAATAAGATGCATATTTGATTGAGTTTCTTTCTACATTCAAGTCACTTTTTGATTTTTCAATCATCCTAGCTCGTCCTCAAGCGCCGCAACGAGGGCCTCCGCGGTCGCATCCTCCCCATCTCCATCAGCATGTTCCATTTTTTCCGCTGCACCTTTCGGGCGTTTACTCATTCTTTCGTTGTCCTCGTCGCTCTTGTTGTCGAACCTCTGCTCTTTGGCTTCCTGTGACTCACCACCCGGCTCGCACCCATCCCCCCCAAAGACTGGCAGCGTCTCCTTGACGCCCTTTTTTCTACATTGCACGACCGTCGACATACATCCTGGCAGTACGTGGCCCGCTTCATCCTTTCGATCGCAGTGGAAAAACGACAGCTGCAACCACGTGCGGGCCACTATCCACATACCGCCTTGCCGCCTGGCCCGGAAGACTTTCTCTGTGCTGGCATTCTCTGCGACCAGGTGGGTGACCGTGGGGCTGAAGTCCTCGACAATGCGTGCCCCTGGAAAGGGCCATGTAGCCCAAGTCGCTCCGCCGGGGGTCTACATTCCGTGGTAGGACGCCGCTGAACAAGATGGTGACACCCGCCAGGACTTGTCGCCGCACGGAGCTCAGGCACCCAGCCACGTTTTGGGGGGGTCGCACGCCCTGATCCTCGTCTGCTTCCTCTCCCTCGCCCTCCTTCCCTGCCTTCAACGACAGCTCGTCATTCCCCGACGCGGGCCCTCTCTCCTCTATGATACTTCCTCCCGCCCCTCCGTCTCCCTGTTCTGTGTCTGGCTTGCCCCCCCCCGGGTAGTAGAGTGCATGCACAGCTTCCAAGACCCGCCAGGTATGCTCGAGCTGCGTGTCCTCCCGGGGGTCTCCAAACACAGTGGGTGGCACCGGTGGCGTCTTTTCCCCCTTCCGACCCGCCTCCGCGTCCGTTTCTTTCCCGGAAACCCCCGAGGGAGCCGGTGACGAGTGAGTGGTGGTAGGAGGGGAAGAGGGAGGGGGCGACAGAGGTCGGGAGGGAGGGATGGCGCTGGAACCCAGGACAGGGGCCGGAGCAAGCCCCGCGACCCGGTTGACTTCCTCAAACTCTGTGTAGAACTTGAAGGGGAGGACGGGGAGAAGGTGGCGGGACTGCTCGCCTTGCCAGACTTGGGGGCTGTCGTCCAAGATCAAGGCCATCTCAATACCCCCGGGAAAAAGTCGCTGCAAGGATTTTTGCCCGTGGAGGTCGGGGCAGTCGTCCCGACTGACGATTCGATCTTCGAAGAGGGTACGGTCCGGGTCGAGGAGGCGGGCGACCTGGTGGGCATAGTCGCGGCGACCGTGGGTGTAGATGGTCAGGACGTACAGGGCGTGGGCCTGGGAGAGGAATGTGCGGAGGTGGGGACGGAGGCAGCACCAGTGACGGAGGATCCGACCTTGGTTGAAGATGTCGAAGGCGTGCACTTCCAGTTTTTGGTGGTCCAGGCGCTCGGCCCTTGGATCGATGGTGGCGTGGAGCAGGGTCAGGTCGATGTCGAGGATCAGATTCAGTTTCCGCGCACGTCGGAGCTTCTGTGCCATGCTTCGGTGCAGAAAGGCCGCCTCCGTCCGGGACACTGAGACGTGGTACCCGCCTTGGACAAAGACCCTGGTGGCCTCCTGGGCCTGCCCCGTCCCCTCCGACAGGACCTCCCCACACACCGCGCACATGCGTCCGCTCTGTAAGACAGGGTGCGTGCAGTAACGAAGCTTGCCCAACACCAGCCTCGGCGGGGGTAACGGCCTTTCCTCCGGCTCCTTGGCCTCCGGGCCCTCCCTCCCCGTGTCCGTGCCCGGGCGACGCAAGCCGCTCAGATCCGGGGCTACCACCTCCTCCAATCGACCTGTATGTTGGGCTTTCAGCCTTCGCACCACCTTCCCACCGCCGTCAAGCCGTTCACATATGACCTGCGCCAGCTCGGCGCCGACCTTGACGCGGTCTCCTTGCCGGCGTCCCCAGGACACGGTCAACGGGCGCAAACCCTGCCCTTCTAAATCAAGCTCCAACGTCTCGGTATCATAAGCCCTCGTGCCACCATTTCCATTGTCGCAGGTGCCGACCCCCTGGGTGCCGTTGAGTGATGTTGCCGTTGGTCGCGGACGGCGTTTGGCCATGGCGCGGGCCACGACCTTGGCGGTGCGAACGGGGAGAGAAGAGTGTGAGTAAAGGTGCTGCGAGACGACTAGCCATAATCCAGTATGTTCTGGCATGCAGGACTGAACCATTTATGGGTTTGGGCGTGTTCCACGGACATTTTTTCCTTCGACGACAGATCGAACAAAACCCTCAATGATCAAGGAGATGGCATCATCGTGTTCTTCGCCGGAATGGAACAATACCCGATGTGCCCCCCAAACCTCTTTGGGTCGCATCTCATTGCGCTGGCTTTTCCCCCTCAACATTAACACACAGACGGGTGTGGGAGCACCATGATCATGCGTCGGCTTCTTCCGGTCATCGTCACGTCCTTTGTGACCTTGTCACCCTTCGCAACCGACCGGGCGCCTTGTCCCGTACCCGCCGCTCTGCACAACGACAACTACTGCGACGACCTGGTCAATGGCTGCGACGAGCCAAAAACCAGTGCTTGCTCGATGGTGAAGCGTGCGTCGACATTTGCGTGCAATGCTTCGGTGACGGGCGAGCCGCATTTGCTGCCGGCATCCCGGGTGGGGGACACGATTTGCGACTGCTGCGATGGAAGCGATGAGGCCCCAGGGACGTGTCCAAACACGTGTGAAAGCTTGCAGGAAGAGTATTTGAACGATGCTTTTAAATGGTACGAAGATGTCACGGTGGGAAAGGAGCGGCGGGATGCTGCCATGGCGGAGGCACGGGCGATCCTGGGGGGTTGGCAAGTGGAAATGAATAAAATCGAAGCTTCCGTGTCTGCGCATCGATCGTTGTTGACAAAGTTGCGGAAGTTGAGGGCGATAGAAGAGAGGAAAGAAGGTTGGGAGAACTTTTGGTGGCTTCGAGAGAAGCGAAGGAGGAGCGTCGGCAGGACGAGGCTTTGCCAAGGGGAGCGAGAGGGGGAGGAGGAAGAGTCCGTTGCGGCCCGGAAATGCCTGAGAGCGAGACAGAACCATCCGCAGAGGGGGAAAAGGACTCAAACGACATGGACGCGGAGTTGGCAGACGAAGGTGAGGACCAAGAAGGCGTTCCTTCGGAAGGCGCTGGGGTCCTCCACCGCGTCCGGGTCTCCTTGCCGGCCTTGGAGGCCGAGGAGGACCCGCTCTTGCACGCGATGCGCGCTACCATTGCCACCGATGGAAGACGCTCCCTCTCGCTCCAAGCATATTTGGACAGCGACATGGCCGCCTCCGCCACCGCCCAGGCGGCTTCCACCCTGAAAACGGCGCTGGCGGCTTGGGAACCCGCGGAGGTCCTGGAGCTTAATCTGCAAGCCCTCGGTGCCCTCATCCTGGGCCCTTTTTACATGCTCTCCTGGGCTCTTCGCCTTTGTCAGAATGAGCTGTGGGAGGCGCTGGGCAAGCTGACGAGTGGTGACAAAAAAAGGCATGTGCAGCAGGGCTTTGACCGGGGGCTGGAGGGGGAGGTGGAAACCTTTGAAACGGCCCTTTCCCCTGGATTGAAGGGTAAGCTTGAATGGGCCCTGGATGCTATCACGCAGGGCCCAATACTGGCGTTGGCCCTGGCGCGTCCCGAGACGATCGCCGATGCACCAGAACGGTTGGAGGCGGCCCTCCTTCGGTTCGCCGTGAACCAACTAGAGGGGCAGTGTGAGGAGGAGGTTGGGCGAGTGGAGGAGCTCCGAGAGTGGATGGAATACCCAGGATACAGTGCGGAGGAGGGGGACGAGAAAGTGTATGTGACATGGCGAGATACGTGCTTCGAGAAGTCTGAAAAGACTTTTGACTACAAAGTGTGCCCGTTTCATGAGGTCAAACAAGACCACGTATTGGTGGGGAGGTGGGCAGCGTGGATCAAGAGGGAAGATGGACAAGGGGTAGCTGAAGGAGCGGGGCCCGTCATGTTTTTCTCGGAAGGGCAGCAGTGCTGGAATGGTCCGAAGCGGAGTGCCGTCGTTCAGTTGTGGTGTGGACTGGAGGAGCAGTTGGTGGAAGTGTCGGAGCCAACTGTCTGTGTATACGACTTTGTATTGATGACTCCGTTGGCATGTACTGAGGCAGTATTGGCCCAAGCAGAAGAGAGACTGAGGAACTTAGGTATTAAGTTGCCAAAGGATGAGCCGAGTGGCGAGAACGTAGACAGAATAAAGCACGATGAATTCTGAAAGCGCAGCGGCGACCAATAGAGTGGCTCAGGTAGAATTTTGTTAGGATAACTCTGCAAAAGGTTTAAAGGACAGAAAGAGTAGCAGAGCAATGGCAAACAAAGTGACATATTGTCGGCGGGGTGGGAGCAGGGCATGAACGGCTCGATTTGTTTGGCACGGTTGACGTTCGCGCCACTTTGACCTGGCGGTCCTACCGCATTTCCCTTACGCTCGCGATAGCACTACTTATACCTGGAACGACGCCACATCCTATATCCCTCCATGTCCATTGCATGGACTGCTCCCTGGTTGGTTTGATCGTGATTTTCCTGAAATGCTTCCATCCACGCGTACAGGGTGGTGGGCCTTCCCTGCGCCGCTTTCTCGCGTGATCGTTTAGGTGAAGTCCGTTCAAGGCAGCAATCACACAACATCCTGCGGTCGGGAGGGGGCGCGGAGGGGGGAATTGTCGACTGCCTTTTGCCTGGTCACGAACTTTCCATTACGCTCTCCCCTTTGTGACGTGGATTAGAAATGGAGGTTGGCCCTCCGCCACGGGTTTCAACACGTGAGGGAGGATGGTTGTTGGGAGGACAGCAGCAGCAGCAGTGGGACAACCCACCACTAAGGCAGTCCAGGAATATGGATGTGATGAAAGGACGGATATCAAGGCCGCATCCGCGAAGAATGCTGCAGACGGCGTACATTGTCGTATTCGTGATCATCAACGTCATCCTGGAGACGGCGCATGGGCATAAGAGAGGAGTTCCTCTAGCCTTTCAACCTCTCCGCCTCCAAAAAGATCATGGGCGGCAAGGTGGCCTCAACCCCTTGCTGGACTCGATCCGTCGACCTCTCACTGGTGGCTTGGAGATATGGAGGGGTAGTACCGCCCATGCTAGGAGCAGCATCGCCTTGGCTGCTCCCAAACATGTGCCTTTGGGTGCCGGGTTATCAGTGAGCCTTGACAAGCCCGTTTTACACAAAAGGCTGGCTCGTACAGCGGGGAAAGTGCCCCAATTAGTATGGACGGCCGTGGGGCTTGCCCTCGCCTTGCTCCTTGTGGCCAAGACCCCCGGGTGGGGCTTGCTCAATGCTCGTGTACGGGATTTCTGCGAGCGGCGCCACTGGGACGTGTACGAGAGACTCGTGTATCGTTTGCGGTGCGTAGGGCTGGGGAATTTGTGTGGCCGGAGGTAGTGTGGGAGGAGGACACGAGGCACGCAGAGGGCGGGCAGGTCCCCTTGAGAGGGCAGGGAGGCGCGCGAGCCGGCGCTCTCTTGTGTCGGTATCGCGCCTATTCAATCACCCCTTTCTCTTTCTTCTCCCTCTTTTTGTCCTTTGTTCTCTTTCTTGTGCCTTCAGGTTGCTGAAAGGGCACCTGGAGCGGCTCTCTGCGGCCCTGCGCCGGCGCTGGCTGACCCTCTTTCCCCCCGAAGTGGACGTCCTCCCCTCCACCGCCTACCCCGTCCCTCTCACCCTACAAGAGCGCAGCAACATTGGCGGATCATTTCTTCGCTACAAATTTGCTTTTCCGCGGCCCCTGCACGTGATGGATTTGGACTTGGGCCAGTCTGTCATCCTCATCGGGAACACCCCAGAGGACAGGGTCATGCGCGCCGCCTTCGTCCCTTCCTCCGCCCCGGGGGAGCGGGGCGTGCTGGAGGTGGTGGCAGAGAAGAACAATCCGGAGGACCCGAGCGTGAAGATATTGGGCACACTGGCCATCGGGGAATCCATCCAGGTGGGTGCACCGAGCCCGCTTAGATCCCCTAGTCCTCCCAACCCTCTCCTACCGCTTTCTCACGTCCCTCCACGCGTTCTCCATCCTCCTTTCTCAGGCCACCCCGGGCGCGCGGCTGACGAACCGTCACCCCGGACCCATCAACAAGCTTTTGATCATTGTTTCCAAGCTCGGCATTGTCCCCGCCTTGCAATTCCTCAACGCCCTGCTCCCCTCCGCGGGGGGCTATTCGGTCGACTTTGCCAACGTCGTGTGGGTCAATGAACGGCAGGACCAGTACATCCTTCAAAATGACCTGCAGGACTTGTTTTACAGATACAACAGGTGACACCCTCTATGCCATTCAATCAATTTTTTCTCCATTGCCATCCCGTCTTTCCTCCCTTCTGCCTTCGTCGTGCTTTTCTTTTCACGCTTCATTGGCCCACCATCCACCCCCTTCCCTCTGTCTCCCTCTCTTGGCTCCCTCTTTTCCCCCGCCTCCTAGCAAACTAGACGTGTACACAGTGGCAGAGCGTGACCTTTTCATGGGCGATTTGGCACACAACCCGCAGTTCCGCGCCTCTATTCCCCCACCTTCTAAAGAAACCCTGGTGCTGGTGGCCGGACCCGAATATTTTACGGCCAAGGTGGTGGATTACTTAACGAAGAGCGGGTACGCGGAGGACGTTATCGTGGCCCTCTAGGTGGCGCCTCGAGAAAGAGGACTGACGGTAGAGGGAGAGTGTGAGGGAGTGAAGCGGCCTCATTGACTCATGTATTGCTTTGGGAGAGAATATGCATGATTATGATGGGCGACATGGGAGATGAAGAGCGATGTGATGTCGCCTCTATTTAAACGGGCAAATGGAAGATATTGTTTCATTGGTGTGTCAATAATGATGCGTCCTTCATTTTCGCGGGAAAAGCACACTTCCCATCCTCCTCAAAAGTAGTCTTTGGTTCCAATTTTCATTAAGGTTTCTGATGCGGAATAAGGTAAAGAGAACGACCTAGAAAGGACAAAATTTGAGCATGTGGGATACGAAGTGGTTTGCATTCGCTTATTGACCCTCCTTTTTTTTTTTCTTCGACGCATAATAATAGCATTATATGTACGCAATAATTACAAAATATATAGTGCCAAACACATTTTACTTCTAGGGTGGTCAGCGCTTTTGATGTCTTCATGCCCTAAGAAGTGCGACGTCATAAATAGCGGATCGGATGTCCTCCACCAGCCAAGCAAATGCTTTTGTATCGTGAGATTTTCATCAATACGGAAAGCATTGCTTCTTTGAATTTTGCCATCTCTTGATACATATAGAATGAAATTTCAAAGATTTGGTTCCCTTTTACATTTTTAATCACGCAAAAATTAAACAATACTCCGTTTTGAGTCGGCGTAAGGCAAAGTCACAACAACTCAGTTTAAAAGCGAGCACGATTACGTTGCGCGAGGATGTGTGAGGTATGTGCAGCGTTTATGATTGCCGTGAAGGCTGTCTATCATGAAGCAATGGAACAGATAAATGCGCGGTTCATTTTTCTCCGGGAGCAGCAGGATTTTTTGCTGCGCCACCATTCGATTAAATTGCGACATACTATGTGCCATGCGCTCGCCCAACAAAAACGAGGTGTTCAGGCAAACTTGCGGACAGACATCTGCCGCAAAAAATGTACACTACGACCACAGAGAAGTGTCACATCCATGCAGCTGACCAAGAGTCAAGTAACTGCATGTTTTGAATGCTTATGAATTAACTTAATGGGCACAAAAGTGGAAATTTCCCGCGGGGTGGACTATCAGCCCGTGCTAGACTGATGACTGGATGAGCGACATCCATCACGCCAACGTAACAAAGCATGATTGGATGCATTTCATGGCTCATGCACTCGACCACCCATCAAATGTGTACTCTTTTATGGAGCGCATGACAAAAGTAGTGGTAAACTTGTGACCTGTGCCTATCCTGGCTTTCGCGGAAAAAGCGATGTTATGTCCGTAAAATAGGCCACCTACTACTCCAATACGACAGTCCTGTGGACACAGCAGCAATGAAGCCGTCCTCACACAGGTCTCTTATCCAATGTACAGGCAGTTATGGCGTCAGCGCCGGAAGTCTCTGCCCCTACCGCCCCCTCTTCGACCACGTCTCTCACCATGCCCGGTCCCCCACGGCGGCCCCTGGTCTCTCTCCTCGACTACGGGGCAGGAAACGTGCGAAGTGTCAGGTACTTCTTTGACGTCCCTCTCACCTAAATCACGAGCTAACGCCCCCTTCTAGTGGAAAATGAGGGCGGATACGCAATCGCCATTTAGGCCTGCAATAGAGATTGATTACACTGTGGGAGGAGAGCCCGGGGCTTCCAGGGTCTCCTGATGCCCCAATGCTGCTTTATGAAAGACCGTATCCGTCAATGCTCTCTCTTGCACCTTGGCTTTTCTCACTCGCTTTCGATGGCCCTGACAGGAACGCGATCGTAGCGCTGGGTTACCAGGTTCGCGACATCAACACGTGAGTTCTCCCTCCATGCAACCACCTTTTGGTCCCACTGCGCGCATTGAGCATCTTTTCATGTTTTCCATTCAGGCCTGAAGAGATCGATTCCGCGGAGGTGATAGTTTTCCCAGGGGTGGGCAGCTTCGGAAGCGCCATGGAGGTGCGAAAGTGGGAGGGGTCTAAGTAGGCAAGGACGGAGGGAGGAACTTGCTGTCCGCGTATGAGACAGGGTTTGGCATTCGGGCGCAGGCAGCCAAGTTCATCAAACACAAAGCTTGACCTCCTCACTCTTCGCAACTTTCTCTGGCAGGTGTTGGAGACGCGCGGCTTTACCCAGCCCCTGCGGGACTACATCCTGGCCGACCGGCCGTACTTCGGGATCTGTCTGGGCATGCAGACCCTGTTCGAGGCCAGCGAGGAGTGTCCGGGTGTCGCGGTAGGGTGGGAGCGATGGAGGGGAAGGGAGAGAGCGCGCTTGAGGGGCCGATGCGGAGGGAGGGGAGTCCCGGGGCCGGTGACGTGTCGGTGGGGCGACTCGATTTTCATCCTCCCCTCCCTCCTTATTTTTCGTCCTCGCTTTCCTCCGTCGTCCTTTCCACCCAGGGTCTGGGCATCATCAAAGGCACCATCAAGGGCTTCGATTCTTCCGCGCCCCTCTCGGTGCCCCACATTGGCTGGAACGGTCTCCTAATGCAGAAGCACACCAAGCTCATCCAAGCGATCCGACCCCAGGAGCTTGTCTACTTCGTACACTCCTACCGCGCCATCCCTTCCCCTGAAGCGGCCCCTTGGGCCTTGACGCTTACTACCTACGGGACTAATTTTATCTCCTCTGTGCACCAAGGTCGGGTCCTGGCCACCCAATTCCACCCGGAGAAGAGCGGGTCGACCGGCCTCCGGATCCTCCGGACCTTCTTGGAGAAGTGAGTGACAGGGAGGGGCCACAACGGGGGAGGGGGTTGGAAAAAGATGTCAACGGTGGGGGAGGCAGGACTGCGAGGGTCATGCAACCGGGCGGAAAGAGTGGAGGGACAAGGAAAGGGGGGGCATGGAGGCGCTGCCTTTCAAGCTCGGCACTAATCTCCCCCCCGCCTCTTTCCCCCCTTCCCACCATCAGTTTCGAGAGCATGGAGGTAGACGCGAGCGATGGTCTCTGGCGGCCCATCGCTGAGACCCGTGTGAGCAAGCGCGTGATTGCCTGCCTGGACGTGCGAAGCAACGACGAGGGGGACCTGGTGGTGACCAAAGGGGACCAGTACGACGTGAGGGAGGCGGCAGTGGCAGGGGCGGGGGAGGGGCGGGAGGGGGGACGGGGCGCGGTCCGGAATTTGGGGAAGCCGGTGGCTTTGGCGAGGCGGTACTACGATGAAGGGGCGGACGAGATCACCTTCTTGAACATCACCAGTTTTAGACAGGGGGTCCTCGACGACTTGCCGATGCTGCAAGTCCTGGAGCGGGCCTCGGAGCAGGTCTTTGTCCCTTTGACGGTGGGGGGAGGGATCCGGGGGTACGTGGAGCCGAGCAAAGGGGAGGGAGGGAAGGAGGGAGGGCGGGCGTGGTCGGCCTTGGAGGTGGCGGCCCGTTATTTTCGAGCGGGGGCGGACAAGGTGAGCATAGGAAGCGACGCGGTCACGGCGGCCGAAGAGATGATACAACGCGGGGAGAAGACGGGCACGTCTGCCATCGAACAGATCTCGACCAGGTACGGGAGGCAAGCGGTGGTGGTGAGCATCGACCCCCGTCGTGTCTATCTCCCGGGGCCCGAGGCCTGCCCGGCGGGCCACACGCCTTTGGAACTCTCGGAGTCCAGCGGACCGAACGGCGAGACGTGGTGCTGGTATCAAGCAACCATCAAAGGAGGGAGGGAGGGACGGCCCATCGATGCGGTACGCCTGGCGCATGCCTGTCAAGAATTGGGAGCGGGGGAGATACTATTGAACTGTGTGGATATGGACGGGCAATGCCGCGGGTTCGATTTGGTGCTCGTCCGGGCAGTGCGGGCGGCGGTGACGATCCCTGTCATAGCCAGCAGCGGCGCCGGTAAGCCCCAACACTTCTCGGAGGTGTTCAATAAGACCGGTGTGGAAGCGGCGCTGGCGGCTGGGATTTTCCACAGGCGGGAGGTGGAAATTGATGCAGTCAAGAGGCATCTGAAGGAAGTGGGCATACCTGTCAGGCTGGCGATGGCGTCGCCGGGGCCGGTGTAGAGAGACGCAGGCGGCCAAGGGGAACGGGAGAAAGCGGCGGAGTTGGGTGAGGGGAAGTTTCATTTTATCAATTCCGTGGAGGCCGTCAACGGTAGTGTGATACTTGCATGACTGTCGGGAAAGGGAAGTGAGGCGGAATAGTGGAAAAGATGGCGGTCTTGAGACTGAGGGGCGCGAAAAAAGTGGGAAAGTCGTGAACGTCACATGGAAATTGTGGCGTCGACGTGGTAATTCGGACGAACTCGACATTTGTACGGGGATCATAGCAAGGATATAAACAGTGATGGGCTTGTCTGGGGAAGGGGCCGGGGGGGGCGCTCCGGACTAAAAGTAGAGCAGGAAGCCAATCCTCAGGTAGAAAAATATGTGAGGGTCGCGAAAGGACACGGAAAGTCAATAAGCAGTCCCAGATGAAAGTGCCGCTCCAATCACACTCTGCACATCGCAAGGCATCTTGATGCTTGTAGAGACAGCAAAATAAACAAGGTCAAGCAAAGGAATGACGGTGACTTCTCGAAGTAAACCTGCTGCCTCCATGTCGTGTTTAAAAGTAACATACAGCAATGCTTTCGGTGCTTTTTCTTTTCCCTTCTTATACTTTTCGTGCGTAATTACTCACGTGCTCAAGCCTCTTTTCCAAAAGGGTGTTTCCCTCTTGCCCCAAGCCGACAAGACCTGAGCTCTCGAAAGCAAAGTTGAAGCTTCATCCTCCTCTTCCAGCGAAGGAGCTTCTGATCCCCCTGCATTTTCATCCTCCCACGACAGCACACTTTCTGTGGATCTGGTGCCGAGCGATTCAGACCGAAACTGAAACAATCCCTGTTCCTTCTCCCTACAATTGGTCTCAGCCAAAACGAAGGAATTGAAAGGATTTTCTCCAACCTTTTTCTCACTTGCATCCTGAGTACTCTTGGTCGTATAATCGTTGCAGGCTTTCTGAGTACGTCCTTGTTTAAAAGACGACAATCGCAGGCAGGATGTTTGCCAGAGGCGCATGCACGACCGGGTCATGCCCGACTCAGTCACGTCTGATGGAAGGTCTCCTTCCTCGGTGCGGGCCAAGGGATCAGCACCCAGCATCAAAAGCATGGCAACGGTCAGGGCTTGATTTGCTTTGCATGCGCGGTGCAGGGGCGTGTTTTGCTCGGCATCGCGTATGTCAACAGAGGCCCCGTGCTGTTTCACCATCTTCAAAATCAGCAACGGTTGGCCATGCGCAGCAAGCCAGTGTAACGAGGTTCGACGAAAAATATCTTGGTCGACGTCATCTACACCAACACCAGCGCGGTTGAGGATGAGTTCCACGACCTCAGGTTGGTCATAGTAACTAGCGAGGAGCAGCGGAGTCCATCCTCCCTCATGCATCCGCGTGGAGACAAGCAAGGGATGGGCACGCAACAGGCAGGAGACCTTATGCACACTGCCGGCAGTTACGGCATCGTTTAAAGCTTTTAACATGTATGATTTTCTTGCTACTGAGCGAGGTCGGGCGCCTACTAGATGCGGTGCATCTAATGGTTTCTGCGATTTCGGGGAGGGAAGGGTATCGAGTGTTTTATCAAATCATCCGTGTGGCCATGAAATGCAATCTCTCATATATGTTTGGCATAGTTCTCCAGAATGTTTAAGGCGCAATCAAAGAACTCTGCAGACTGTTCAGTGGATATCCAAATCTCGCATGAATCCGAAGCCGGAAAACAGGAATGGCTACCAAACGGAACCTCCGGCGTCTTGCTAATTCCTCGGGGATATCCGCACCAAGCCGTTACGTTTTAACCCGATTCTTTTCGATGCGGCGTAAAAATGGAAAACCAGGGGCCGGCTGCGACATTGTGAGCTTAATTCACTTCTTGTGGCGAAGCGCTTCAAGGAAAAGGTGAGGGGCTTTTCCTGGAAAATCTCCTTCCTCATGTTCCTTCAGTAAGAGCCGGCCAGGCGCATATTTCTTTCTTGGTCAACATTTAAAGCCACATCTCCTTTGTAACCGCTGTCTCATCATATCCCTTACACTTGGTTTTCCCGTAAATTCACATCGTCAGCACATTATAGCATAATCCGGCATTCATATGTTTTAGCGCAGATTGATTCGCCAACTTAGTCATCTTCCGAGTCTAAGATCTCCAAATCTTTCTTGTCGAACCATCCAAGCTTCTCGATTGCAACGCGGATGGGGGCAAGCGCAGCGATCAGTAAGGGAAATAAGACACCAATCGGAGACGACTTAAGGGCCCACATCCCTCCAAGACAGGCAAACTGCAATCCTGTGAACGCAGCGCTGACTTTAAAAGGTACCTTTTGCGCCCACGCCGCTTTCGGACGTTGCGCAGGATCGGTAATGAGCAATTTCAACCGCTCCCACATTTGATTACCAGCCAAAGAGCTCTTTCCCAGGTAGAGGAAGAGTCCCATCAAAACCGCCAGGGGGACCTGCCCAAGGAGGGGACGGAACCCGAGAATGGCTACCCCGATCAATGAGTGGATGGCAAGGCCCGTGAGCCGGTTCTCTTGCATGCTCTCGATCACCACCTCGCCGTCTTCAGTGCTCTTAAAGCGCGCACACGCCCGGACGTGGTTCAAGGACCTGACTGTGGCGGCCACCAACCACGGGAGACCAAACAAGGAATTGATAAAGGTCAGGATGGAGACGACGAACATGTCCAAGTGCAAGCCGTACCCCTTCTTGATCTTGTGCGAGGGGGAATTCACCAAGCGGACCGTGATATTCTGATCCATGAAGAGCAGGACAGAGGACATGAGCGCGGGGATGAAAGCTGCCCACCGGGCCCATATAGGCAACGCGAAAATATTCACCAGCCAGGGCCGGCCAAGGGAGGTGGAGAAAGAATCGGGAATCAACAGCGTTGGCAGTGCCTCGGCCTTCTTGGCTTTGGCAAGGGCGGTGAGAAAACACCCGGCCAGGACACCGATGGTGGGGGCAAAATCCGCGATGACGTCGCGGACGCGCTTGGTAAAGAGCTTCCCGCGTCGAAGGCCTGCGAGCGTGATGCTGGTGTTGAAGGTGGTGACCGCGATGACGAGGGAGAGGAGGGCCTTGGCGAAGCCAACGGAGGGGTTGATGAAAAAGGAGGAGAGGTCCTTGACTGCTTCGTACAGGAAGATGAGGGAGATGAGGAGGGAGAAGATCTCGTCGGTGAAGCGTGTAAAGTAGTTGACCAAATTGGAGAGGCTGGTGACAGAGGAGAGGAAGAGGATGAGGGACGTCCAGATGCCCACCCAGGAATAGAGGGGGAGGAAAGGCAGCGCCAGATTCTGAGCGGTCCGGTAGAGCACGAGCGTGAAGGCCAAGACGGGGCCGGTGCTGCCGATGATGGTGAGGGGCTGCCCGGAGAAAAGCGCGTAGGCAATGCCGTTGGAGGCGGTGGCCAGGAGCATCTCCATGGTCCCGATGTTTCCCTCCGTGAGCTTGCCCATCAGGCCTCCGAAGGCGACGGCGGGGGCCAAACAGGCGAAGAACAGGAAGAAGATAGCCGCCACCCCCTTCACGTTCGCGCCGTCCTTGAAGTCGGACAGGTAGTGGGGGGCCTTGCGATGGACGTCTTCCACGATGCCTTTGAACGGTCGTTCCAATATCTTCTGGGACTTGGACGTATCTTCCTCGGACGAGGAGTCGGTGGCCGGGGACATGGGGGGAACAGGCACGTCGGAGGCGGCAGGCACGGCCGCTGAGAAGGCGGGACGTAGCTTGTATATACGGCTAGGTTTGAACACAGGCGCGCGTACGGGAATGACTGGGGGGCATGTGAAACGCAGGGCATTGGTTGGGGCCTTCAGGGGGCGGGAGGCCGGGGTGACGAAGGCGAAGACATGGGTATTCGCCATGAGGATGAGGGCAAGGACAAGGAGGAGGACCGTTTTGGGTGTTGGCATCTGCATAGAGGGTGCCATTGGCGTTTTCTGTGTCTGGGATATGACAAGGGCGTGGGGAACACATGAACAGGCGGCAAGAACTTCAATCTGCAGGGAAACGGAGCATTCCACATGCACTGTGCGCGAGGGGTCGGAAGACGTGGCTTGGGAACTAAAACATTTGATGCGTCATCAACCGGTAGGCATCTTATCCCACGTTACGACCGCACGGCGAAATAACGCTTGAAGCAGCCTGAATGAATTTCGTGCCCTGGTCCTGTAGCACGGACGGGAGGCGTAATCGCATCTCAACATACAAGGGCAACTTGAACGACGTTGCCGCCGCGCCATATATCAACACGACATCGACACTGTAACAAAGCCACGAGAGCACACAAATAACGCTGAAGACATGTATTAGAGCGATTGCAAGGCGAATGGGCAGCACGTGGACGGGTCGGCCAGTGTCCATGGCTCTTTCTGTTGGGGGCGGAAAAAATGGATAGTAGGGGGGAGGTGAGACTGATCGCAGCGAGATGGCGAGTCCCACCCAGGGCCATCGAGATCTGAGCAAAACCACGGAAAGAGGGCACCAGGTGGGCGATTTAGGGTTGGAATGTGGGTTTAATAGCACCTTTTCTTGAATTTTCTTTTTTAAAAAATAGGGCACAGGTAAACAGGCAAGGAACAATTCGCTGCCACTGGAATACTGGTATCCTGAAAACGTTTCTTAACCAAGACATGGGCAGCGGACAACGGGGTAAGTGCTGCTTTGCTTGTCTTCATTTTTCGTTTCAACAACCAGTTGTCAGACAAGACAGAATAATTTAATGAAAAAATGGTAAAAAAGGCTCTAAATGCGAGACTTGGGAGGTGACTAGGAGTGGTGAACTTGAGGGATAAGCACGTAATTTAGTCATGTCAAAAGACATGGAGGTAATTGGAACTCGCGAGAGGTCGTAAAAAGGTTCTATGCACAACTATTGGGCACGTAAAACTTGCAAGCATCGATCGACGTGAGGAATGCACGAGCAATTACCCCGTTTGTCCGTCTCTGTCATTGACGTCCTACCTGCAGTCAATGTCTCCACAACCTGGAGCTTGTCTCCCTCCCTCCCATCGGAACATCATTTGACGTTCACCGCTGCACCCCTTTTACCTTCTACCATGATGACAGGCGCTCCCACTGGCGGCACTTTTAGCCCCGGCAGCGACGACAGTCCCGTGAAGATGCCCGGCCAGCAAGCTCGAGGGTCTCTGCTTAGTACCTGTGCCCTTCTTGTGGGCGCCTTGGCCGTCCTCCTCAGCGGAACGGTCTCCCTTTCCCGGTACCCCCCTCGCTCCTTCCCACGTGTTGTCGTCGGCGAGGATTTCCTCCAGGAAGCCGGCGGTCAATTTGTCACCCTCTCCAAAGGCCGCGTCCACTACGTCCTCCGGGAGCCGACCACGCCATCGGACCTTCCCCCCGTTGTCTTGATCCATGGCTTCTCCTTGGGCTGTATCATCTGGAACGACGTGGCGGACGCCCTCGTCTCTAAAGGAGGCCGTCGGGTCTTGGCCTTTGACTTGTACGGCCGCGGCTACAGCGACGCCGCCTTCCCCTGCGATGTCGAGCTCTTTTCTGGGCAGTTGACGGAGCTGCTTTTTGCCCTCCAGCCAGTCCTTGGCCCGGGGCCTATCGATATATTCGGGACCTCGATGGGGGGGGCCATCGCCGTGCATTTCACGCACTTGCATCCGGAGCGCGTGCGGCGACTCGCCCTCCTGGCGCCCGCTGGCCTGCCCGTCAACGTGCCGTGGACCGCCAAGCTTGGGAAGCTCCCCTTCTTCGGGGACATCTTCATGCCGATTTTGGGCCCTGTTTCGCTCCGGACGTATGCCCGCAAAGGCCATGCCTATCCGGACGACCCCGCTTTCCAGCCGACCTTCGCCGCCATGAGCCGCGTACTGCGCCGGCAGAGTCAGGTGAACCCAGCTTTCTTCCCCGCGCTCCTCTCCACGCTGCGGGATTTCCCTCTGAACGACCTTGTGTGGGCCTACGAATCCGTGGCCAGAACCAGGGAGGACGGGAGCGTGCTCGTGATATGGGGCGACAGGGACGTCATCACGCCGTTCATGCACGCCTCGCGCGTTATCGATTTGCTGGGAGGGCCGGCCAAGGCGAAGCTGCTGGTTCTGGACGACTGCGGCCATGTGGACCCCTTGGAGGTGCAACGGAACATCGAGGAGATGATGCCCCCCCTTCTTGCGCACTTGGGATGACGGGGGGGAGAGAGGGGGGACTCGGGGTTTGGCAAGGCTTGTTTGCCGTGTATTTTAGGTAGGGGTGCTGCGCAAAGCTACTGGAGCAATACGGGTGCGCAAAAAGAAAAGGAATACATGTTCACCTCGGTGTTGAGAGGCTGGTTTTCCACCTAAAGGCATGTTCTCCTGGGCGAGATTCTGAGGGTTGGGCGGCGGGTCAAGGACAGGAACGAGCGCACACGACGTGGACGTGCCCGCGAACGATCGGAAAGGAAGCCAGACTGCACGCAAAGCCCCTCTTAATGACCGTTCTGCCCAGATAATCATGCATCCCCCTGCGGACCTGTGGGGCCTCCCTCCTCCCTTCGCCTCTTCTTCGCCTGTCGTCCCACCGCGTCCTGGCCCGCGTTGCCACTGTCCTTCCCCACCCTCTGCACATGAAATCCTTCATCTCCCTTCCCCTCCATGGCCCTCATGTGCGCCAGCCACTCCTCGAGTTTCACAGTCCCAGCCTTGAACTTTCTCCCCAACAGACTGCCCTCCCTTATCCCTCGCTCCAAGACGTGGGAGGGAAGCCCCTCGTAGGTCTCGGGGCTTTTCGGCGAATCTCCCCAGCAACAGTACGTCAGTCGTCGTCTGAGCACGGGCTGCTGCTGTTCTTTCCCTCCCGCGTTGACAAGACCCTCCCCCGCTCTAGGAGGCATGCTCTCCTCTATTCCGAGGCCGGTGCCTGTGGTGCTCTTCGTCAGGGTGCTCTCTTTCTCAAGCCCTCCTTCTTTCTTCGATCCATCCACGCTTCCCAAGCACGAAAATGCCGCGTCTTCCGTGACGACTTTTGGTCCGCTTGGACCTATCTCGCCAAGCAGCGCCAGGCAAGTAGGGAAATACATCTCGTCCGAGGCCGACGCCGCTCTGAACATCGGCCACAAGTCTTCACCGAAGGCCTTGGGCAACGCCAAGACTGCTTCTGCGTGGGGTCGTGTTAAAGCCACCCATTGATCCGCCTTCCAGATGCAAGTAGACGGAAGTCCTGCTTTCACGAGCGGCTCAAATTGCTGTTGTTTCGAATAGCCGTTATTGGGCTTGTCTGTAAAATGGAGCCAGCTTTGTGGTCGTGAGGACGTCCCGGAAGTTTCCACGGGGAAGAGGGATTTTACGGCGGTATCGAGGGGCTGAATGGGGATGCACGACTCAGATGCGAAGAGAAAGAGCTGTATATCGGATGCATCTTCCACAGCGACCCGCAAAAGCTCCAACTCGGCACGTGTAATATCAATCGAGCCCCACGCAGGACAAAAGGACCTGGGTATGAGCTTCTCTAATACCCACGGAGAAGTCACTTTGTCCGGGTGCTTGGCATGTATCCAGACTTTGACTTCTGTCGCTCCATTTTGTCGTTGCATCCATTCGCGCCACAGGGGCTCGAACGGGAGGCTATCAATGATCAGGATGAGAAGCCCCATCCTGCGCTTCTTGATGCAGCCTCCACTCGCCTCACTGCGTTTTAGCAAAATACTGTTACGGATAAACCTACCCGCTTTAACAAGACGCTGCCCAAGTCTTAAGCTGGCCAATCTCGCAGCCTCATTCTTGCGCTCCATTGCTGCGTCTTTTTGTTCCTTCTTCTCCAGGGACGCCCTCAGGCCCTTAAACCCAGCAAGTTGGTCTCTGAAACTAGCCATTCGTCTGTGACCTGTAATTCAATGTCTTTGGATGGATATGCATACCGAACACATGCGCTTCGTGAGTCCTAAGCGCGTGCATGTTTGGCCCAAAAGACGCGAAGGGATGAATCGCTAACTCAAGTCCGCTCGGTTCAACCGGACGAACAGCAAGTACTCGACCGCTTGTTGCTTTGGAGGCCAAATCGGGAAAAGAAATGTATCGGATGGATTTTTTTTTTTAAATGCAGTGAATTAGGTCCGCGTTTTATTTTTGAACTGTTCTTGACCCGCACAACGTATCTTTCATGTCATAAAATAGCCTTCCATCCCGTTTCAGGGTTTGCCCTCCCCCCCCCCCAGTACGCATGGCCCGACGGTCGCACTGGCTGTACGAGTGGTTCTTTATTGCCGCCTTAGGTTCGAACTGGCTCCAAAGTCATGCAGGGCGATGGGGTGACGCAAGATTACAGGGTAAGTCTATCTCATGGGATAAAGTGCCTCCTGCGACAACTCATATCCCCCGCTCGTTCCACCACCTTTCCCCCACAGCTGCCACACTCAAACCACGCTCATTACTTATCCGTGACGCAAGACACTCAGCATCAAATTATCGTCGAGCTTCTAATCACCGTCTGGCTTTCCATCTATGGGGCAAACACCACGAGCACGAAGGCAGGGCTTTGGAGCGCTCGACTGTTTGGCAGCGCTTCTCGAATACCACAGGCGACGCTACCAATTCAAGCTCTACCACCATCCAGCAATTGGGCTCCTTTAGTACGCGAAAAAATCCCGTGTTCGGAATTCTCTCCCAGGAGGACCTTGCACTTGACAAAGTCGAGCAATGCGTGTGCAGATGTTGGGGGCAGTGCAAGCCCTTTGTCTCAACCGCCGCCAAGGCCTTGGCCGGTGGAACTATGTGCCTGTTTGGGGCTCATTACGCGCGGTGTGCCGTCGTTTTTCATACCATGCGTGTCACTGGATGGCCTGCTTTCCATAAAGCGGTGCAGGAGCTTGTCAGAAGCTACAGTGCCGCCCGCGAGGTGGTGAAGAGCGAAGTCAGTAAGGTCGTGCGACCTGGCGAGCTCTTTAGGGCCGTCTCCTACGAGCTGAAAAGTGTTCACTTTCTCATCAAGGAGTCTCAAAAGAAACTTGAAGACGGATATCTGAGTCGGATGGAGGCGATGGAAATTATACGGCGGGCGCAAATTGACAAGAAGCGCTTGGAGTACGAGGCCTGGTGCCTTAATCAGGCCCTGGATTCGGTCGCGGCCCTGGGAGCAGCCATCGACTTAACAAGACTCCGGGAGGCAGGAAAGGGTCTATATACTGGCGCGCTTGCATGTTTCGCGTCTTCCAGCAGCATGACTGTCTGCAAACTGTCTCTTGCTTTCGACTTGGGTGGTATTTTTGCAAACAACTTGAGTTGTGTATGCGCGACGTTGATGAGCCGGTGGCACTCCAAAGAACTTGCCCGCATCCTTCCGCCAGAGACTCGTCGATTTATAAAGTTGTCCTTTCAGATCATGGGAGCTATTCAAGGTCTTCTCATTGTAAATACTGTGCTGCCAAAGGTCAGCTTGCGCATTTCCTCCGCTGCTTTGGGCGCTGCCTGGTTAACTGATGCAATCACTGAGATATGCGATCCTTGGATTCAGGCTCATGATGGGTGGAATCCAATGGCAAATCACCTGCCATATGCTGTATTACAAGTTGGACTGACGATAGGAGGATACTATGTGCAAAAAACTGTTTATCCGGGCAAAATTCCCTTGATAGTGGAGCGTGTCTTATCCCCATTAGCATTTTTCGAGAAGCGCCTGAATTACCTCAACTCAATGTTTGCCAAGTGATGGAGGAACTAATTTTGTTAAAATTATCTCAAGTTAAATCGTACATACTGACACATATTCTGTTCGAAAGGGAACTAAAAAAGAAGCAAAGGAATTGTCTGTGGCAGGGAGGAGGTTATCCGTCGGTCGCCGTGATGCAATACGACCCCTCGCTTGCTCCCCTCCCGAGCCTCCCTACCACATCCCATTCCAACAGCCCATTAACACGCCTTCTCAATTTAGGCATGGCGAGGGCGAGTTCAAGGCGGAGAAGCGATGGGAATGGTGCTGATAAGGGTACAGGCCGCAGCAGGGCTTCCCATGAGGCGGTGAGTATGTTCAGTGGGAAGGAAGTATCGCTCACTTTTGAGGCCGACGACAGGCAATCGCCCAAGTCTATTCAACTGTACCTCTTTCCACCGAAAAGGTTGTAGGCGCTGCCGTGCGAGGAGGTACAGGTTTGGTGGTGGTGATGGTCTTGCAGCGCGGAGTCAATTTTGTATTGAATCAACTTTTGCTCCGTCACGTGGATCCCGCTGTGTTTGGGCTCGCCTCCGTGCCTCTTGACCTGCTCTTGAATACGGCGCTTTTTCTCTCCCGTGAGGGTTTCCGGTTGACGTTGGGTCGAACCACTCTTGTTGGATTGTCGTCCGACACGTGTGAATTTCGTCAATTCGTAAACTTAAGCTGGGTGCCTGTCTTACTGGGACCTTTGGTGTCCCTGCTTTCTTTGGCCTTTTTACCCTCTACCCACAACGAAGACATCGGTGGTAAAGGACAAAACGCAGATGCACTACGGCAAACTGGGCTTCTGTTTTGCCTAGCAGCCTCTTTAGAAAGCCTGAGTGAGCCTGCTTATCTAGTCTGTCAGGGATGTCTCCTAACAACGCTTCGATCGGCCTCGGAGGGACTGGCGACATTAATCCGCTCGATCATAACGTTTGTGCTGCTTATTTGGGTACTACCACCTGAAAAAGCGCTTTTAGCCTTCGGTTTCGCCCAGGTCGGATACTCTGTTGTTTTGATCCTCGTTTATTGGGGCTACCTCATCTACGTGAGTCTGAAGGGGGGAGGTCAAACAGGAATTCCGGGAGCATCAAAGGAGGCAGCTATGGATACCACATCCACCAATCAAACCACCCAAACGCCGCTACGCCTCCTTGCCCTCTCCCACCTGCTCCCTAGAGCCCCTTCTTCCTCCTCCGCACTTTGGGTGGAGCCGTCACACTTGGCGCTCGCTTTCGCGCTGACAGGGCAGTCTTTCTTCAAGCACCTGCTCACCCAAGGCGACAAAATCGTTCTCTCCATTGGCAGCTCGCATTACTCGCAAGGTCTCTATGCCTTGGCGCAGAATTACGGCTCTTTGGCAGCAAGGTTGCTGTTCCAACCCTTAGAAGAGAGCGGGCGGCTCATGTTCGCCAGGCTGGCCGCAGGGAATGGTGGGGTCGTGGGGGAGGACGCGGCCGAAGCAGCCGACGATAAGAAAAAGAAAAAGACGGAAACTTCTGTGGCTACTGATCATCGACGGGGAAGGGGGGCAGAGCCGGGAGAGTCTGCCGCTTCGCAGGCCATGCTAAAGGTCCTCGTCGGCGCCTTGGTCAAAACCGTCATCCTCGTGGGCCTCGTCTTTGCCTGCTTCGGCTTCAACTACACGCGCGTCCTCCTCCGACTTCTCCTCCCCGGGAGGCGGTGGGAGACAGGGGCAGGAGTAGGGGCCGAGGGCAGCGGCGAGGTCCTCTCCTGGTACTGCCTGTACGTGCTCTTTCTCGCAGTGAATGGGATGACGGAGGCCTTTGTGTACGCCGTGGCCACACAACAGGATGTGGTACGTTTGGGTGCCTTGGCAGCCGTCTCGTTCGCAGTTTTTGCCGGCCTGACATTCCCTTTCATTCGATGGCACGGAACGGTCGGGTTGGTGTTGGCAAATTGTGCGGGGATGCTGGTGCGAATCTTGTTCAGTATACACTTCGTACGGGCCTACTTCGACGGCGTCGTGTCGACGCGGAAGCAGGACGGAGGGGAGGGGCATGTCTCGTCCATGATGCTTTCGACAAGAGAAAAACAACCAGACATGTTTCCCCACCCAGTCGTGCTCGCGTCATTTGTGGCCGCCTTTGCTGCGACCTATGCTTCAGATAAGACGTTGGTGTCAATAGATGAAGTGGAGCCTGTTTTGAAGCATGTGGTGTTCGGCGGGATGGTTTTTACAGGAGTACTAGGTTCTATATTGTGGACAGAACAAGATTTTTTTGAGGATTTGAAAAGTATACGGAGATTGGCGACAGGCAGGAGGGAGGAAGCTGGATCAAAAGCGAAATCGGGGTTGGAGGGCAAGAAGGGGGCGTGAGGCTGTTCAACGAGCGGCATAATATACACAGAATTGCACCCTGTGTGAGCAAAGACTCAATGCTTGCTTCCAGTGCATAATTTGTATGTCGGTCGATTTTTTCTTTGGCTGGAGCAGTGATCCTACTCGTACCCCTGCCTGTTCAGGCAAAAATGCATGCTACACTTCTATCTCTATATTTTGGCGGGCTATGCAACCCTTTCAATCCTAAAGCGGACAGTGTATGCTTGTGAAGAAACTCGCTCTAGGGTGGCAGGCACACGGCATGGGACATCTCGTCCACAGCGATATCTGTACCCTAGTCGAGTTTCGCTTTTCACAGCCTGTCAAGCTTGTGCTGCTGCGGGCGTACTCGAGGGGCTCCCATATGCATCTTTTTTCCCGGTGCCGC